GGAGAAGTCTTCGGACAGCGCTGGCTCTTCGGCTTGGAAACGGAGATGAGCAGCGCACCCCTAGAGTTGGATTGGACTGGCTTCCGAGCAAGGGGAACCTTTACCAACCCGAGCTGGGCGTGGGGGGAGTGTGGCCCTGGGGAGTCCGGCGCTGCGTGCTTGCTGCCCTGGATGGATACTCTGGGAGAGGCTGGGGGGAGGAGGAGGACACGCGGGAGGGGGCAGCATCTCTTGTGGGTCTGTCTGCCCTTTGTGCAGGGAAGCCGCGGAGCCCCCAGGCAGGGGAGTGCTGCGATGTAGCAGTTCGAAAGCAAGAAATTGCAAGTAGATAAATAGGCCGTGCTTTGGTGGGAAGGTCACAGCGTTCCATGCGCCTCAGCGTCTAGTCATGACCATGGAGAAGTCTTCGGACAGCGCTGGCTCTTCGGCTTGGAAACGGAGATGAGCAGCGCACCCCTAGAGTTGGATTGGACTGGCTTCCGAGCAAGGGGAACCTTTACCAACCCGAGCTGGGGAGTTCAGCACTGCGTGCTTGCCACCCCGGATGGATGCTCTGGGAGAGGTTGGGAGAAGGAGGAGGACACGCGGGAGGGGGCAGCGTCTCTTGTGGGTCTGTCTGCCCTTTGTGCAGGGAAGCCGCGGAGCCCCCAGGCAGGGGAGTGCTGCTGGCACTTGGGAGAGCTCAGGCTATTGGGCAGGGCAGGAACAGGGCCAGGCCATGAAGCACAAGAGCCCTGGAGGGCAGGGAAGCCGAGGGCTGGGATCCAGCGGGGCGGGGGGGGGGGGGGTGTGTGTCGAACAAAAAGCCTTTCGGGGGTGCCAGGTCAGGGCATGCACTGCCCGGTCAGGGGTCTTGTTGGGGGACTTGATGGGTGGCTCCCTGTCCCTCTTGTATTTCTCTACCACCAGTTGATTTCATCCTTCCTTTGGGGCAGTGTCCCTAGTTCTCACCCTCCTTGTTGCTTCGCACAACACCCCTGCAAGGTGGGCTAGGCCGAGGGAGAGTGACTGGCCCGAAGCCACCCCGCAAACTCCGTGGCAAACTCCATGGCTGCATCGAGGTGTGTGAGGCACAGGCACACCAGGTGGGCCCTCCCACATTAATCTTCAGCCACACGGGAGTCCCTTGCAGCAGACTGCCGCCGGCATCTGCGCTTCATCAGAGGCACCCCAGGGAGTGAGCGCGAAGTCACAAAAGCTTGTGCGGGAGTCCATGTTTTCACCCCCAGGGGAGGTCTTGTCCCTGCCGGCCTTGGAGAAGGCCCCTCCTCAGCCTCCCAGAGCCACAGTGGAGTCCTGGGAAGAGGCCTTTGCCAAGGGCTGGCTTCCTGGGGCCCAAGCCTCACCCTCAGCAAGTTCTTCAGGGCTCATCATGCTGGCAGGAGAGCGGGGGGGG